AGAAGAACGTGAGCCAGGAATCATATATCCAGCAAAATTGCCTTTCTAAAATGATGGCAAAACTAAGATAAGTAGAAATGTAGAAAATGTATAAAAAGCAGAGGAAGCTTACAGAAAATATTAAAGAGTCCTTTAGATGGAGAACCAACATTGACAACAACCTGATAAAAAGACATGCGACAGCATCACCCAGATACCAACCCAGATAAAGATTTCACAAAGGTAAAATAAAGATACAAAACTGACTACAGGGAACCAGAGTTATTAAGTTGCTAACAGCTACAACTTCCAAACAAAAAGGAAGAATAAAAGGTGTAGTTATAGAATTTCTATATGGAGAGGAAGTCAAGATTTCAAGACATAACAGTCTGTCCTAAATTTAAGAGGATAAAGGTAAATTTCAGCATACAAAGAAAATTAGTAAATCTACTCATGAAAATAAAGAAGAAACTCAAAAAGACTCAGTAAAAAAAAAAAACAAAAAAAAAACTGATAGGCTCTTTAAACATATGGAAACTGAATAACACTTTACTTTAAAACTATTGAGTCACAGAAGAAATTAAACTTGAAATTAAAAAATTCTTAGAATCAAATGAGAATGAAAACACAACATGCCAAAACCTCTGTGACACAGAAAAAAATAGTCTCATAGGAAAACTTATATCAATAAATGTATACATCAAAGAAGAAAAAAGGTGCCAAATCTATAACTTAACCCAACAACTTGAAAACATAGAAAAGGAATAACAAAAGGAGTTCATAGTCACCATAAGACAGGAAATGATAAAGAACAGAGCAGAAATAAATGAAATAGAAAAACAGTAGAAAGAATCATCAAAACTAGGAGTTGGTTCTTTGAGAGGATCAATAAAATAGACAAACCACTGGCCAAATTGACAAAGGGACCTCTGGTGGCATAGTGCCTAATGCATTTGACTGCTAACCAGAAGGCTGGTGGTTCAAACCCCCCAGTCACTCCTCAGAAAGGAGGATGGGGCAATATCTACTTCTGTAATTATACTGCCTCAGAAACCCAAGGAAGGGTTGTTATGAGTCAGATCTGACTTGATGGCAGTGAGTCTGGTGTATACACACACACACACACACACACACACACACACACATATATATATATATATAT